TTCAAGAATTAAAATGTACTAATTAATAAAGGAGTAATTATACCCATTGCCTCTCCACTGAATTTTTTCTATCCTTAAACCTGGGAAAAAAAGGGGGTGCCTCATGGTGGACTACTACAACCTTATTGCTGTGGTCCCATCTATTACCCAATTTCCAGTATTATTAAAATTACTAATTCTATACCTTAAATAACTGGCCAATACTTTGATCTTACAGACTTGGCTAACATGTCCCATTAAGTGCCTACTTGCACAGCTTCTTGGCTGCAGTTTGCCTCCTGCTCTGAAGGGACACATAGACCTTTGCAGGCTACCCACAGGGAGCTCCACAGCTTTGCCACAGCACACAATCTCTGCAGACAAGGTCTATACCACATCCACCTTCTCCAGTAGCACAAATGAGGAGATTCATCATCATGCTCATTAGGGACATGCAAGTCCAACATCTTCAAATACTTTTGAGGTTCTGATGGCAATGTAGTCCTCATTTACACATTCTACTTAATTTTCTTGCTGCTGCTTACAAATCAGCTTGCTTTAAATGGTGTTCCCTCTGAAAACAACCTCTAAAATCAAACCAAATTCAAATCCATGGGCACTCCTGTTGGTGCCCTCAGAGGCCCCCTCATTATAGAAACCCCGGCAAGCTCTACGCAGGCCTGGAGTTCCAGCCCACTTAGGATGGACATAGGTGCCCAAGGGCTTTGGATGGAAGAAACTGCCCCTCTCAGACTCATGCTATACCCCATTATAACAGTAAATGGCTGGGTGCCTGCTGGGCTCTCCTGAACACAGAGGCTCCTAGAGACCTGAGCCTAAGATCCCAATCTCCAGTTGCTCATCATAAGCACCTGACAAGCTCAGCAAAACTACTGATGCCTCCTTAGGACAGGATGGATCCAAGCCTGGGCCCTCTGCTGCATTCTATCCTCAAGAGAGTGGTCTTCCATGTCCTCAGTCCCTTGTGAGGTCATCTTCCCCCAGATCCCTTGGGGTCCCTTAGATTAACTGAGTGAATAGCACTGGGAGTTCACAAACAGCAGAGATGACATTGCCAACCCTCATATAAATGATGGAGCCCAATAGAATGTTGCTGCTTTCCATCCTTTAGCCAGGATGCCCTGATACAAATCGGAACCCAAAAAGCAATGCACATGGCCAATGTCAGGCAGTCGTCTTAACGCTGGAGGCCCTGGTCAGCACAGGGCCCCAACTTCACATTTATGGCCAACTGTTGGACCACTGCTCAAGAGTTGCCCCCTTCAGGGTAAAAAACTCTGGGACTCTTCCTCACAGATATCAAAACCTAAATCTAAATCACACCTGTTCACATGTGCTACAGCTGGGATACAAGGTCTTGCCGTGGTACTCCTCGTCCCTTCAGGGTGGCTGGCATCACTGAAAGTAACTGAGACACACATTCCACGTCTCAGAGTCCACCATACTAGGCTCTGGGAAAAGGCATTCGTCACAACTTCCACAGCCCTGACAGGTTCCACACAACCGGTTTAACTAAGAGACATAATGTCTCCTCAGACAGCTCCATTTCAAATTCTAGTCTGCAAACGGACCCCGAAATGGGCCTCTATCTTGCCCCACAAACCTTAATCTCTCTTAATTTAGGGCCTCTCGGGTGACTCACACCTCACACAAACTTTAAAAAACATTACCATAGTCCCCTTTAAACAAAAAGAGGACTACGTCTTGCTTTCTTGTATATAAAAGCTCATCACATATTAGGGCCTTTTATAATGTTTCTCCCTATTCCTATAAATTTTGGATCTTGTGCCCACCTGATAAGTGCTAGAGACCAGAGAGAGAATATGTTCTCTCCTGGATCCATTAACCCCAGGGCTCCCACAGGCCAGGCAGCTGCTCATCTGATACGGAGCCCACTTGAACCTAAACTTCCACCAAAAAGGAAGAATCAAAACCCTGTCAGGTGCAGCTGTACACATTCTGGTGTCTATCGATCTTGTTACCACTGATCTGGGGGCTTTCACTGGTTTATGATCTAAAGGCCCAGACCCTCCAGGTAAGCCACTGTTTCAACCAAGTGCTGGGAACCACGTCGGCACAAGTAGGGATCTGCTTAGCAGGAGACCTCACATCCCAGAAGACACTGCCCAGCCCAGCAGCTCATGGCTGAAGATGACATGGCCCCAGCCACGGCCTCACCGTGGGAGATGACTTAGTCCCAGATATTAAAACCTCTGCCCTAGTGATGCCCATGGGCTGCCTCTTCTGAGGCACTAAGTGGGCATATGACATTTTTGTTCTTCTTCCTTTTAATATTGAGGAGTCCACTATGTTTCCTGGCCTCCCATCTGCTTAGCCCATGATCCTGACACATGCCCTGCTTTCTGCCAAAACATGGCTCCCTATACTCCCATGTCTAAATGAAAACTCTGGAAGAAGGACTACTTAAGGGAGTGTCTCGCTTTCCCAGGAGGGAACTGCCTCCTATCAGTCAACTCCTCAACCCCTGGGGGAGGAGCACCCACTCCCAGGGCCTTCTCCTACCGCCCCAGCTGGCTTTCCACGCGACCTCCTGTCCTGCGCCTCCATAGACACTCCCTCCCTGTGGTGACACATGAACACCACGAGTCTCTGCATATCCTTTACTGAACTATCACTGCACACCCCCAACCACACAACTGCCAGACCTGCCACCCCAAGCCGAGAAACACCGCAATATCACCAGACTCGTATGTTTAACACGTTAACAACTGCACCAAGAAATTGGTAGAGGCCCCCCAAAACTGCAGAACTATGTTCTTGACTAATGCCATATACATGAGAGCCTTAGCTATGGGCCAGCCTAAGGGACTCCTGTATTTCCGTGTGTGTTCCTCCTTTCTACTCTCAGAATAAAACGTTTTCTATGCTTTTTAAGGCAATGCCCTACTCTTTAAAAGTTTTTGCTTTCGAAAGTGACCTCAGTATCTCAAAACAGCAGAGGGACCAATTGTATTAGTTGTGATTTCTATATTTTATGATATTTTGACATCTCGGGGACCTCGCTGACCCAGGAGAAACCGCCCGTCCCAGGGCGAGTCAATTCTTAGACATAGCAAAGGGCTATCCTGGGAGCAAAGTAACCAATGCAGAGCCCATCCTCCAAACTGCCTTCTCTATCTGGCTCTTACAAACTAGGAGGCAGTATCTCCCACCCTGATCACCCAGGGCCAGGTACCAGATGGCTACAGACCACCCATATAGCCTAGAGTCTGAGTTGTTACTTAAATCAGTCAGTTTAAGCTGTGTGCCTGCCCTGCCTGTCCTGCAGAACAACACCGTAGAGGGTCTAAGCCATGCTCTCCCTCACTCCTGCTTCTGCCTGTCTCCAGTGCTTCCCCTCATGCCCTGGTGTGGTCTGCTGCCTCTCATTCTCTCGTGTCTACAGGAATTGTGAAGAACAGTAAACACTATCCATGGCATCCACCTCTCTGTGTCCTCATTCAGTCACCTTTATCAGACCTGGGTGCAAATTAGAGCTAACGTCCCCAACTTGGGGAAGTGCAATGGGCGCACTTCAACTTCTTCATTATTTCTGCTCTCCTAAAAGCTGAGAAACTGCTAAAAGGCTATTTGATGAAATTCAGCAGTTGAGAAGTAAAAGTCAAGGTGAGGCTGAAGTGGGGAGTTGTAAAGGGAAAAAGGCTTTCCCCGGGAGTCAGAGCCAGTGTGCCAAATGATGTGTCTCACCCTAGTAGAGAGGGGGTGATGCTGGCAAAGGGGTTCAGTTATCTCCCTGTGTGGGCGATGGCTCACACAGCTGATCTTTCCTATCCGGAGCTGGCTTCCCTGGGAATTAGGTTTTGGTGAACAACAGAATCAGAATGTGGCCTTCAGGAAGGTGTTGAAGGGGAAGAACTCCTTCCACTGGCTGCCACTGCTGTCTATGCTAAAAAGTGGGGCGATAGGGACCTCCCTACTCAACTTGATAGCCATACTGGGGAAAAATAAAACTTTGTGGTGTCAACTAAAAGAAATCACCCACATTTATTTTCTTCTAATTTGCTTCTAATTACCTTTCTTCTTCATATCTTTTGCACTCCTTCTTATTTGATAGACAGTATTTGAATTTTGAAGAGTAGCATTTACCCGAGTAATTTAAGTGGTGGGACACAAAAGAAGACAAGAAGGAGAATAAACAGATGGGTATTTTTTAAAGCACTTAAAAATTATAACAAATTCTATGTAACACAGGCAATGGATTATTGTGATGGTAACAACTGCCAATTTTCCAAAAAGGTTATAATACAGTGATGATGCCGCAGTTCACTGTAATTCTACCATCCATAAACTTCAGTTGTTCCTTGATTATTCAAAAGTCCTGTGGTAAGACTTGACATATGTTAAGAGTTGTATCATTTGTTAAATGGTCTTGGTGTTTTTTGTTTTTGAGGGGGAAGAGGTTTAAGTGCAAAAATGACACCTTTGTGACCCTATAAATGAGATAATACTATTGAATTTGGTATATGAATTGGTTAAGAATTATTGCGTTTCTATGGATAAACCTTAACATTTTAGGTAAACCTTAACATTTTAAATTCTCTTGAAAATTTAAAAAGTATCCTAACTTTCAATTCTGAAGATGAGGACACACACAGGAGATGGGATATGATAAAAAGGCCATGGTGCCTTTGGGATCTTACTTGCATTTCAAAGACACAGGCAGGTTTGGGCAATGAATGGAAAAATACCGAATAGCAGGTATTGTTCCTCAAGAAGAAAAATGACTCCCCCACTCTGCTATTACTCTTTTTTGCTTTTATTCCAATGTAACTAGAGCATGACTGTTGGAGCACTTTCAGTTCAATTAAGCTGGAATGTCCTGACTTTGAATGAGAAATTAAATTATTTTCTGAGAAATGCTTAGAATTGGCATCTCCCTGACAGAAAAGGGGCAGAAGGGGGCAGGCAGAGGAGGAAGCAGACGTTCTGCTTTGGCTTGACTGGCAGCAAACTGAAGCTGGGGGTTGTTTTGTTTTTCAGTTTGTAAAAGGAGGCTTCCTTCACGACATGACCATAGGACGCAGTCATCCTGACTCTGTTCCTGATGCATAATGTTTCTAAGTGCTCAGTAAGTACCAATCTACTCCCACGCTGCAGCATGTGGGGGTGGAATGCTGAAGAGAGAGAGCACGATGTGATCATAGTTAATTCCCTCTGGTATCAAAAAATAAAAGCATGTGTTGCTCTCATCTGCGTCATCGTTGTTGTTCAGGCTTTTATATAACAACATGCAGAATGAGAAGACCAGAAAGGCAGGCAGAATCATGAAGAAATAACTGAATAGTTCTGATTCTAAGAACTGTGTGACATGACATTTAAAGAGTGAGGAAGAGAAAGCAACAGGTTCCAAATGTTATAGCAAGTGTACCAAGTTAACTTTAGGAAGGCTCGTGGAGAAGCTGTGATCACATTGTGGTTATCTAGACACTTCCAAATGGAAATGGCGATGATAACTATTCGGCTGTGATATGAAGGTACAAAAAGATTTTCCAAAAGAGGAAGGCAGAGAATGGTCAATGCAGATCAATTTTCATAAACCACTTCTGGTTAAGGTCTTCTGGCATGTGAGCTGCATTTTGTTTCCTTTTAAATCATTGGGTTAGGTTATAATGCCTAAGAAAGTTGAATACTATTGTTAATGCATAAATTAATAAAATCTCTTAGAAATCACTTGGCCAAACTGCCATTAAACCATCTCAAGATGATAGTTGAGATTCACAATAAGTGAGGCACTTGAAACACTGGATTGGAAAAGACTTTCACATTTTCTCTTATAATTAAGTGACGCTGTTATTTTCTAACTCTCATGATAAGACTAAGTTTTATCTACTGAAAACTACAAGAAAAATTAATAATATTATAAAGTCTTTCTACTAAATGCTTGATGGATTGATAACCATCAACATTGTGTATTATGAGATATATATTTAAAAACTAAAACATCACATACAACTTCAATGAACAAAGCAAAACTTGCAGCTGTGATGTGCTCTTTAGTGGTTGTGACCCTCTGGTTAATAATGTCCACCTTGCAGATGAGGAAGCCAACTCAATGCACCAGCTGGTTAGGCCAGAGAGAACATATGAGTATCTCAGATTCAGTTATTCCAATCAATATCACCGATGTGCATTACAGGATGGAAGGTATAGTACTGTCCGTTAACAGATAACACATGGTCTGATCACTGTAAAACTTTCTTTCAAAAATATAATCTTAGGTTGGTGTTGGAGAAAAACCTGCTGAATATTTCCATCTCATACCGTCCATCCTCCCTTCGTATATTCTGATCTATTTTTCTGAAATAGACGGATTATCATGGTATGACAGATTGTTAATGTTTTTGTGTATTAATAAATGGATAGTAAACTGAATTTACTGATGGGTCTAATTTCTAATGCAAATCCCAGTAGAAAAGATGACTGTTTTCTAAATGCTTAGTAACCATTGGTCAATGAGACAAGGTTCTACTTTCAAGGCGTTCTTTGCACTTGGTGGTTTTACGTTTGACATCCCAATGTATATACAATTTTAACTCACTTTTGCTCACTTTATTGTGTGTAAATATATATATATATATATATATATATATATATATACACACACACATATATATATATCTCTCCTCAAGTGAACTATACTGTTCTTAGGTTTTTCTATATCCAAGGTACACTTTCTTATATTTTGACGTTCAATTGATTACAACATGCAATTTACAACACCTGGGACTACAACAGAACACTAAACACAGTTCTACCCGGTGGCTACTACTTCTTGGGTAAGGACTAGTTTGGGCTCCCACACTGAACAATGGGGTGATGATTCAATTTCACAGATAACTTCACAGCAACACACAAAGCCTAAGAGTCGTTTTAGTTAGCCTGTGATCTAAGAAATCCACTTCCAGATAAAAATGTGCTTCCTCCTATTGTCTAGACACTTAAGCATGCCTTTTCCACCTGGCAGAGCAAGATACTGACTGGGAAGGGAATCCTCCTTTCTAGTGAAACCTAAACCACATGTAAACCATCTGCGGGGTCCTGTGCTGTCAGTGAATTGCATTCCCCAAGCATCTGCCTCTAAGAGATTTTCTTAGGTTGTTTTTCAACTATGGGCTCCATTCAGATTTCAGGCTAACCTTGTACAAGGTCAGATCCCACCAGACACAGAATTGTCATTTTTGAGGAGGACTCAATATTTGGCAAGTGTTCCATTTTGGAACCTTATCCACAAGCACTTGACAAAGCACAATGAATGGACGGCTATTTGTCCATGCCTGACATTTATGAAAGTACGAGGGCTTCCAGAAACCTTAACAGAGAGAAAAAAAATCAATTATTTCTCTGCCTGGCATTAGCCAGCTCCTGCCGACTATTCATCTTACGCGTGATGATGACTAATATCCGTCGGATGGCAAGGAGCCGCTCTTTGAGTGAGGTCATGCCGAGGATGGCCAGCTGAGCCTTGCGCTCCAGGGGCAGCACAGCCAGGATCCACCAGGACCAGGCAGGGCCACTGGGATTACTCTGCAGAAGAGATGAGAAGAAAGCAGGATTAACACTGAAAATAAAAGCCTGTTCCCCACACAGTCTTGTGCTCCACCAACAGACACCTGGGCAAGAATTAAATGCCACCTTGTATTTTAGGGCTATTTCACAATTCATTCAGCTCTCAAAATATATAGTTCACTTTTATGGTACACATTTAAAGGTGGGAAACTCAAAAAAGGAAGAGCCTTCAAAGAGAAGCATCTTCCACGGCGAAATTCTATGAATTAGTTACTTCTCATCTCTCAAGCCTTCAGTTAAGAGTATATTCTGGTCAGAAGAGAAGACCACCATTTTTACCTTCACTTTCCAGTGTTCTGTGCTATTATTTTGTACGTCTTAAGCATGACATATAAAGCATAATATTATAAAGGCTAAAAGTATGTGTACACATTTGAGTGACATACTCGATGTGGCAAATGAGTGTATGTATGAAACATGTATATGTATGCATGCTATATGCCAGAGTTATCATAAATTAGATACATAAGAATTATTATGCTACCAAATAACCTTTATTTTACATAATCAAACAAGCACTTCTGAGTGCTAGGCAAAAACCGATCATAAATTGTTCTCAATATTCCTGGTATTAGAACCAAGATATCCAGGTCTTTTTGTTTCCAGGGTCTTGGATTCTTGACTCTTTTCCTCCTCCAAAAATGTGCAGGATGCCCAAGTTGCCTTAGTGTAGGGTGAGGTAGATTATACTGGAGGATTAGAAATAGCATTGTGGCCAAAGCTCACCAGGGGTAGCCCAAGTCACTGTGAGGAAGGCATCGACCTGCCCTTCAGAGGGAGAAAGGCACAGATGGAGAAAACAACCTTTTATATAAATTCACACTCTTTTTACCTCCTCATCTCACAGAGAAAGAAAAAAACTGAGTAGCATGCTTAACGGGAAGGACTCTAAATAAGAAAATTGATGTATTACCTAAAATCCCACTGTAGTCAGCAGAAAAATGGTCTCCCCCAAAGACTAATTCCTGAAACCTGTGAATATGGTACCTTATACAGCAAACGGACTTGGGGGATGTGATTAAGCTAAGGACTTTAGAATGGGGAGATTATCCTGATGGCCCAATGTGTTCAAATGGGGTCCTTTCTGGGCTGTGGTCAGAGGGACGTGTGGCTGTGGAAGAACAGTCAGAGAGAGGCCATGTTGCCAGCTCTGATAGAGAAAGGAAGTCAAGGAATACCACCAGCTTCTACAAGCCGCAAATGCAAGGAAGCAGACTCCCTCACAACCTCCACAGAGGAATGCACGCTGCCATCACCCTGATCACAGTCTGGCCTGCAGAACCAGGACTGGAAGGCAATAGATATGTGTTGTTTTAAGCCACCACGTTTGTGGTAATTTCTTACAGTAGTAGTAGGAAGCTAATGTACCGACCAAGTAGAGATTGATTAATTTGGTTAATAAACAAAAACTCCTAGGAAAAAGACTGACTTATATTCTAACGCAAGTCAGTCTAATCACCTTGCTTTCTGAATCTGAGTTTCAGGACACTGTAGAACAAAGGCTTACGCAAACAGGGCGAGCTAGGAAGGACTTGATGGCAATTTCTGGCATTTAAAGCATTATTCTGTGTTTGGAAAAGAAAGAATTCAGGCAGTGGGTAAAATATAGACATTCCAAGAGAGAGAAAAAAAGTTAAAATGGATGGGGAAAGACACAAAAGACATTTCACATCACCCTAAACGAGCTGGGAGCCAATCCCTGCCCCTACTGTCTTTGACAGCTGAGCAGTCATGTGCAGGTGGGAAGTATACACTCTCATGCACCATCTTAAACCAGCCCAGCCTGGCTCACCCATCTAAGGCAGAGGAGAGGGCCACCTAAGCTTAGAAATGCTCCACAAACCTGAAGCTCATTCATTGCTTAAAGAATCAGCTTCACCAAAAGCACTCGTAGGGAGCACTGGAGAAAGCCCATGACACCTGGGTAGCAGGGTACACAGAGGACAAGGAAGTCACACTTCTAATGTCAGAAGAATGATAGGATTTTCTCCTCACTTATCCAACATCCGTATACCAGGTGCAAGGCAATGCTATGTGCTGAACGTAGAGTGTTCGTGCCAATGCAATAATGTTACTACTTAAATTTTAAAATGTGAGTGAAAGAAGCAAAAGGCTACACAAGCTGACAGCCAAGCAGAATAAATTGATTGTTGTTAGAAAAGAAATTATGTTCTGTTAGAAAGCCGTTAAGCCTTTGTTGTTATGCTACATAAGTCATGTGCTACTACAGTAGGTGCTTCTTGGGGCTGTGAGTAGATGAGCTGGTTCATAAGCAGCCACACTAGGTACCCAGCATCATACTGCCAAGCACTCCACCAGAATCCCGGATCAGCACACTACAGCAGGAAATAATAGAATTATAAAGGAGAAAGGAGGGGATACCTGAGGCTCAGGTTCTCTCTCTGGCATCACCCCAAAATGACTTAAAATTTGTTCTCTCATGCGATCCTGGAGAGACGCAAACCAGGAAACAGCCTGTTGATGCACGGAGTCATGGAGAGCGGCAAGTTCTTCATATTCTGGACCCTCCACCTGATCGGGGAAAAGGCACAGCTCTGGGAACCATTCATGGTTACGCACACAACACAGTTAGTGACCTCTGCACCACCACTAAGTGGATTTGTGACATTTAGCACTTTAATAATTCATCAATTTCACAAAAATGGTACATGCTCAACATAGAAATTTGTATTTTTTTTGCATAATTGAAATCTATCAATTGTATCCTGATTTTTCTTTTCATACCATAAGTGCATGTTTCAGGTAATTTTTGAATATTTTTCAATGGCTGCATGCAATCATATATTTAAGATATACACCAATTTACTTAGCTATTCACATAAGTTATTTAGAATATTCTAGATTTTTATTTTTAAAAATAACACAGTAATATAAGCATTTATGAAAAATTGTGTTTTTTTTTTGACAAGGGAGGGAGGTATGATTTCCTTAGAATAGTTTCCTAGAGACCTTGACAGAATTATCAAGTCAAAGAGTGACATTTTAAAAACTGTATTCCATATCACCAAGCTATATTCCTGAAGGCTTGATAGGACAACACTGTACTTATGACATCGGGCTGGGCTGATGGACCCCAGCTTGCGGTCGGCAACAGCACCTTAGATGGACCAAGCTTGGCCTCTAGTCCCTATGTCACTATCAAGTCTGTCATTTAAGTTATGCCTCCATCCTGTTCGGGAACACCTGGAAGAGGAGGAAGGGCATGGAACTGGAAATCAGGGGGCCAGGGTTCATTCTGGCTTCATTACTGACTCTCATGTGTGAATTTAGCTAGTCTCAAAGCCTCATTAGGGCAGAGTTTTCTCATCTGTAAAACAGGAATAAACCATGAAGGTCCTTTCCTGTTATAAAATTCCAGTACTACAAAAACTATGGTGTGCTGAGAAATTATAATGTAATGCATATACTACCCTCAATTTGATTTACAGAATTCAAATATTCATATGTGACAGAGGATTTTCTTTTAAAAATAAGCTAAAGTTATTTCATGTTGTAGCTAAGTCCCCATTTTAAAATAAACACATACACTATTAAAAGCTGTCATCTCCAACAACAGCCAATAAACCCTGCCGTCAGGTCTATCAACCCAGGAGAGGGATCCTGAGAACTATCACTTTCAGCTATAGCTTTGAAACCCAACTTTCTGGTCCAGGCTGGGCTCTCTGCTCTGCTCCCCTGCACTGGGATGACCAGAATCAGCAGCTGGAGGAGGCACAGAGCTAGCGTCCTGGGTGTGACTCCATTCACAAATCCTAAGCGTACACCACTGTCCACAAAATGACTTCCAGTGTGATGTGGGGTGGCTACATACCCTCACTTCCGCATTTCCAAATGTCAACCAAAGAATTTAAAAGAGGGATACAATAATTCCAAGGATTTCCTCATTTTAAGTATTTTAAAATGTCTTGCTGCGGTATAATTTACAGACCGAAAAGTACATAGATCTTGTTTAGCTCGAAGAGTTTTCTCAACTGTATACACCAGTCTGACCATCACCCAAAACCAGACAGACACTTCCACTACCTAGAAGGATTCTTCAACACCACCCTCCCCAGTCAGTTACAAAGCCAACCCCACAAGCTTTTTCTGACTTCCATCCCCAGAGTTTAGTTTTGCCTGTTCCTGAACGTATACAGATGATGTCACACAGCACACGTTCGTCCTGCGTCTGGCTTCTCTCACTTAACGTCATGTCTATGAGAGTCATCCGTGCTGTTTCGTGCACCAGCAGTTCATTTCTTTTTATTGACAGGTAGAATTCCATTGCATGAATGTACCACAGTGTGTTTACTGACTCAACGGAGATCAGCACCTGGGTTGCTCCTGGTTTGGGGCTACTATTGAGTAAGACTACTATGGACATCCTTGTGCAAGTCTGTCAGAGAATCTCTCAAAACATTTTGCTAATTTGTCAAATTATATGTCCTGATATTTCTATTAGACACATAAAAAGTTCTTAAGGGTAATAAACTCAAGGCTTTTATATTTAGGTTTGAAAGGTATTTTTAAGTTGTAGATTTTTGTCACATTCTGAACTAACACCAACACAGAGAACAGGAATTGACAAATTGCTGTTCATGAGTCAGCCCATGCTCACCACCATGTTTCTGGAAATAACATTTAATGGAAAACCAGTCATGCTCATGCCTTTACACATTGTCTATGGCTGCTTTTACACTGTAAGGGCAGGACCGAGTAGCTTTGACAGAGACCATATGGCCTGCAGAGTCTAAAGTATTTATTATCTGGCCCTTTACAGAAAAAGTTTGCCAGCTCCAGGTTAGAACATCCAATAACAAATCACAAGCCTATTTTTCAATGTGCAGTTTTACATGCTCCATAAGTACAGTAAGGTCACTTTTTAAAAAAGGGATTTCTCTTCCAGCTCCCAACTCAGGTAAAAAACCACTGAGAAAATAAATGACTGCCAAAGGCAGTGGCTCATGCCTGTAGTCCTAGTGCTTTGGGAGGCCAACGTGGTAGGGCTGCTTGAGCCCAGGAGTTTGAGACCAGCCTGGGCAACACAGGGAGACTCTGTCTCAACAACAACAAAAAAATTTAAATTAGCCACGTGTGGTGGTGTGCATCTGTAGTCCCAGCTACTTAGGAAGCTAAAGCAGGAGGATCGCTTGAGCATGCGAGGTCAAGACTGCAGCGAGCCAAGATCATGCTGCTGTACTGCAGCCTGCACGACAGAAGGATACCTTGACTCAAAAATAAATAAGTAGGTAAATAAATAACTTAAGTGATGAATTAAGGGCTTAAGTAATATTGTCAATACAAGTTTGACAAAGCTTTCTTACAATGCAGAGGGAAACAAGAGGAGAGGACCGAACTCTATAAAAATATACCAGTACAGTTAGCCTTACCCTTTCATCTTCAAGATATTCAATGTCCGCTGTGTTATAGCCATCTCTGTGGCGGTGGTTTAGCACTCGGAACCGACTGATGCCAATTGCGTCTACAACGGAACTTCCATCAGGAAATGTTCTCACATCCTTAATCTCCAGCATGCACCCGTACTCTGAAAGCCTGGAACGATGGTTGGGAGAAATGATGGTGATTTTTAAAATGCAGGAGGCCTTTATTTTTCCCTGGATGAGAGTTTGCTTTTAAAAGGAATACAAAGCCACACAAAACAGTGTCTCCATATCAGACCAGCAAGGTTACTGTTGCTAAGAGACGTGCAGACAGTCGCTTCTGTTAGATTCTAAATATAGTGGTGATGGTGGCTGCAGAGGAAGGGCTCCAGGGGAGACAGGACTTGTACCTTAGCAGTTCCAATGGGCTAGTGTTTTGGGAAGGACCCAAGAGATGGGAAGAGACAAAATCTTAAATGTGGCTCCTCAGCTGCCTTGGCCAGGCACCATCAGGACCGCCCAGCTGGCACCATGCACACACTCGGCTTTCCAAAGCTCTCCCCAGCTCTTACCCACACTCTGATTGTTAACTATCACCCGTATACTAGTGATATTCTTATGCTACCACGTGCCAAGCACCACACAGAGCAATACATACAAATTCAAGCCCACACTTAAAATTTGATTCATCAGAAGTCAGTAAAGTGAAAAAATAAGCTATAGAAGTTCCGTGTGCACTGAGAATATAGAACACTGAAAAGAATGTGAAAAACAACAAGAAAAATCAGATAAACCACAAAACATGTCTCTCGAACCCATCAGAGATCGGAGGTTTCTCTGGGTAACCAAACAAAGATCCCACAGGGCAAGAGTAGAAAGAGCCCAGGAAGAGACATAAAAGTGTGTAGAAAGAATTCAGCTAATTTTTTTTTTTAAAACAAATTGCCAATGACCTGTGTGGGCTGGCATCAGAGTGTAGGTCCTTGAAGAGCTGCACTCACAAAGGGAGCGTGCATCACACACAGGCTCTTGTCCACAGATAAGAGGCTCCTTGGTGAGTCATGCCCTGCAGTGAGGCAGGCTTGGAGGAGCTGACGTTTATTTAGAAGGCTCTGCTGGTGCTGGTTGCTAGGGCAGCAAGCCCTCTTCCTTCAAAGGCACTCAGCTCCTCCTCCGTCATGCCTTTGCCCACAAGGTCTTCACCTCATTCCAATTCTGCCAGCTCTGCCCTCCCCAACCAAAGTGCGATAGAAAGCAGTCCCCAGCCACTGCCTTCATCTCCTTGCCTCCCTTACACTGCTCCATATCCCACCGTTTTATTAAAATGACTCCAAAAGAAGTCAGAGATGTCCTCTGAATTGCTCAAAGCACTGGACAGTCTCCTGTCTGACCCCTCTAAGGCACAACCCTGCAGACTGTTGCTGAGCCAATGCCTCTGCTCTCCTGCACCCTCTCTAACCAGCCCAGCCTCTTACACCCCTACCTCTGTCTGTCCCTCCCGCTCCATGCTACCCAGCCCAGGGTGGTGTCCTAAGCTATGTCTATTCTCATTCCGAAGCTCTCCCCAGATCTTACCCACATTCCAGTTGTAACTATCACCGTAATCTAGTGATATTCTCTCACTACCACGTGCCAAGCACCACACACAACAGTTTATAAAACATATGAATTCAAGCCCACAAAACACGGAGGCTCAGAGGAATTAACTTATCCAAGGCCACTGGGCGATTTAGAGCCGAAATGAGAACTCAAAACAGTGTGATTCTAAAGTCGTCATGGTAAGCAGCTTTACTATACCTCCCCCAAACTAATGAGCAGCAATGATTCCCAAGTTACAGGCCTGTACGTCAAACTGCCGCCTGGATGCCTCTACTTATATACTTAATAAAACTCACTCTTCCTGTTCACCTAACAGGATGATCTCATTCATAGCATGGTGAACCTGGAGGCGTCCTGAAGATCCCTCTTCAAGAGAGGACTTGCTGCCCCAGCAACCAGCAGAGGCCTCCAAATAAACGTCAGCTCCTCCAAGCCTGCCTCACTGCAGAGCATGACTAACCAAGGAGCCTCTTATCTGTGGACAAGAGCCTGTGTGTGATGCATGCTCCCTTTGTGAGTGCAGCTCTTCAGGGACCTACACTCTGATGCCAGCCTACACAAGGTCACCGGCAATTTGTTAAACAAAAAAAATTAGCTGAATTCTTCCTACACACTTTTATGTCTCTTCCTGGGCTCTTTCTACTCTTGCCCTGTGGGATCTTTGGTTACCCAGAGCAACCTCCAATCTCTGATGGGTTCAAGAAACAAATGTTCTGTGGTTTGTCTGCTTTTTCTTGTTGTTTGGATAGGAATAACATTCTTTTCAGAGTTCTATATTCTCAGTGCACGTGGAACTCTTATAGCTTATTTTTTCACTTTACTGACGTTTGATTAATCAAATTTTAATATATTCTAATTTATTAATCTCTTTTTCTATTGTGTATTCTCAGTACCTTGTATGAGAATCTTTCCCCATTCCTAATTATAAGGTGATCCCCAATATTTCCTCTTAAATATTTTTATATTTTGTTTTTCACATTAGGAATGTAAATGTGTTATTTTTCATTTATGGTATAAGGTAAAGTTTTTTCCCCCCCATCTTATTTGGACTACCCACTAATTTTCTGGGTACCCTTTATTGACTAATTTGTCTTTTCTCATAAAAGTGCCTGTGAACATGGCGTCCACATATGAGTGGGCCTGTTTTGGATCTCTACATTATTGTTTCATTGGTCTACTTACTACCTACTGTTTGTAAACTTGACACTATAGGAGTGTTCGCCCGTTTGCTCAGCCATATCTAGGCTTGGTGTTTTGCTTTTCCATACTGATTCTAAGGTCAGCTTGAGCAAGTCCATGAAGAAGCCCCCTGGGGATATTAATGGGAATTACTCTGGATTTGTGGAACTGCATAGATATGGCATCTCCATGACATTGAGTCTGTCACCAATGGACGTGGCATTTCTTTCCATTGATTCAGAACTTCTTGAACATCTTTCAATAAAGTTTCAGAATTTTCTCCACAAAGATCCTACATATATTTTAAAACGATCTGTCCTTAGGTACTTATGGTAGAAAATTCTGAGTGGTCCTAAAAATGCACTCTCCTCTTCTTCCTGGGCACATGGGTGGACTATATTTGCCAGGCTCCTTTGCAGCAGGTGTGAACAGAAGGTGGCTCCCTTTCTTTACAGTCCTTTAAGGGCATGTGCATCTCCTCCACAGCTAGCACTTGGAGGCAGTGACCTCATCATGATCATGTAGGGCTGACAAGTTCCTAAGGGATGGGAGGGTCCTGAGTCCCCAAATCAGTCCACAGAGAGGAACAACCTGCTGGCTTGCAATATTCTCCCTTGACATAGACATGAAGTGAGAGGAAGTGAAAACCACGTGTAGTGTGTTTTTATAAGACTGAAAATGATTTGGCTGTAGAGACGGGGAAAAATCTTTGTAAAGGATGTAAAAATTTTTCATTTTAGAAATTTTTTGTAGAGATGGGGTCTTCCTATGCTGCCTAGGCTGGTCTCCAACTTCTGGGCTCAAGTAATTCTCCTACCTCAGCCTCTCAAAGTGCTGGGATTACAAGCATGGGCCACCGAGCCCAGCTGTAATTTTTCTAGACCTCAAAAGTTGGACTAGATTTGTTTGTATATAGATGGGGATAAAGAAACTTGCAGGCAGAGGGAAGCATGGATGTGTGGAAGCATGAGCTGTCACAAGAGAAGGGCAGGCAGCATGGCAGGGGACTAGCGGGTGTGACGTTGAAAGGAAGAGGTGGGCAGTGAGGGATGGGACCGCATTATGCGCAGCCTTGAACTTGGACTTCGTTACGTAATAGGAGTCACTGGAGGTTTTCAAGCATCAGCCTAAATCATTCTGCAAGAAAGATGACAAACAATGCCCTTAATTAGGACCCTTTGAATGCCGACAGTTCTTACCCTGCGTGCTCAGCAGATAAACACATGCCAAATCGCCTGGTGCCCGTTTCCATGCATCTTCTTATCATAAGCCGATAGCGGGGCTCAAAGACATGGAGTGGACATGGGACCGTGGGGAAGGCCATGGCACACACAAAGATGGGGACGTCTCTGGTCAGACTGCAGGGCAAGGGGACACGTTATCTCAGATGTATGAGCTGTTAGATCAGAGGGTAGTACTGGCCGCCAAAATAGCAAACACTCAACCTCAGTTCTCCCCGCTACAAAACAAAACCCTCAGGTTAAGAGGGACAAGAAAGCCAAGGACCACAGCCTGTGAACATTCTCTGCTCACCTAGGTTTCCTGACAAATCTGTTTTATTTAATTAGAGAAAAGGGAACATGCTGAATTATATTACTTTGCTTGGAAAAGTTACAGCTTTTGAGCACTCTAAAAAAATTCTGATAAAAGCAAAAACTACATAATAGTCAAAGGCAATGAGTTTTAAATAGCAGAGTGGAAGAGTGATAAGATCTCTACAAAAACATAAAACTTCCACCATTTTAAATGATGAAAACTGTCAAACCTGTTGTGATTCGCAATCCTGGGCCTTGCTTCCCACTCTACTTTTTAAAATTGTGCTTCACTTCACTCCACTTTGCAGATATTACATTAAAACATTTTTTGAGGTAAAATATACATATATAGTCTACCATCCTTAAGTGTACAGTTCATCGGTAACAAATACATTTATATTCTTTTGTTTATTTCTAACAATTATTTTGATATAGAGAAAGGGTCTTGCTATATTTCCCAGCTTGGTCTTCAACTCCTAAGGCTCAAGCAATCCTCCTGACTTGACCTCCCAAAATGTTAGGATTACAGGCATGAGCCACTGTGCCCAGCCTTCTCTGCTTTCTAAATCCTGAAAAATTCAGTATCACTTACTTATATACATAAAGCAACTATGTAATTTTGTTAAAACACTTTAAAAATATCTTATAAAAAATTTCTTATAACTTCTTGCAATTACATTTCCAAAAATATTTTGCAATTAACATTTTTTTCCACCTACAGACCAAAAGAGTTCCCGGCCATGAAAAGGAAACCTGAGGTAAAGTTGAGGTTGACAAAGTTCAGTCTGAACCTAAGACCAAGGACATACGTGAGCACTTACTTTGACAGTTCCGACATTTCTTCATCATAAATTCTCTTCCTGTCAGACAATTCATCCGACAAATACCGAATTATTAATTCTTCAGCCAGAGCAGTTATATTAAAGTTTCTGCTTGCCAATAGCTGTAATAAAACAACAACAAAAAAGTCAAATGATACCGTATGGTAATTGACGCTAAAGGACCAAGTTTCCCAGTCGAATGGTGAACAAGGAGGTGGCGGATGGGATCTCTGAGCAGGTAAGGAGGAGCAGAGTGGAGAGGGAGGAGGGCCAGCTGTGCCAGGAGCAGGGGCAGCCCCTCCACTGTGAGAGGTGGTGTTCACCTGGACGAAGGATGAGGCAACTCAATCTTGACAGCATCTACATTTTCAGCCAAGTGCCATGATATTAATGAGAGGGGAGGAAGTGAAGTAGGGCATGCTGGGAGAGGAGAGACATATGCAATGATCAGCTTGGAGAGTAAAGAACTGGAACTACTAGAGAAAGAATGTAAGAATCATTACTGATGTTTTAAGTCTAAGACTTAAAATCGTTCATCTAAACTGACACCAATCTTCCCAATGCTGTGTTTTTTTCTAGCTTCGTTGTGTTACTTAGGATGCATGCAAACGGTAAAGGTTGACGTTTTTGGGATTGAGAAAGGGAGTAAGGGACCATGGATTAAAGCTGGATGTGAAGGGAAGGTGGGAGGAGACTAAACCAGGAAGTGCTACGATTCGTGGGTTGCAGGGCCACAATGTGGCTGAACTACTACCCTGTATGTGTGCATGCGTGCATGTGCATGCGTGCATGTGCACACGCATGTGTGGACACACAGAGTAGTAGTTCGGTAGGTTGCACTGTTTTATTGCAGGCATGTATACTAGCATATAGTAGCTCTTTTCATTGACATTCTGATACACATCAGGTGCTGTTGCAGGTGCATTATTAGTCCTGAAAACAGTATAATGCTACAGTTGTTCTCTCCACTGCGCTCATAAAGCTGTGATTCAGAAAGGGTAAGGGTGAGTGCTGAGCCACCATGGCATATGAGGACCCCAGGCCTGGCAGGTTTCAGGGCTCTGCTCTTTGATGGCCTGCTGCATTTATGGGCTTGGGATGGCACCACGTATTTCCAACACACCTTGGCTGGGGGAGTCCTTCGAATCCTGCCAGGTTTCCCTGTAGCTGGTGTGACACAAACTAAATGTATTGCTGTGACTGAGAGCCAGGAGTTCAAACTTTGGAAAGGCCTATGTTTGGGAGCCGCTATTGCAGGTTAACTGGTAGAGAAACATGCCATCATCTAATTCACAAAACTGCCTCATAATTGTCATTATAAATGGTTTATGATGTCCTTTCATTGAAGAGTAATACAACAAAACATGCTCTACTTGGCACGATGCTAACCACTTCTGTAGATTCATATATAAATGATGATTCAGGTCCCTGGTAGTGTATGCAAAGGTGTCTATGAGCATGATGTGATTTCTGCAATGAAGAAAGACAAAATGATAATTTTGGATTTTATTTCATTTTATAGTATTCTAATCTCTGGAACATTAGTAATCCATGTATAGTTTGCATATAATCATTCATTCATTCACTGATTCATTCATTATTCAACAGAGACTTCAAGAGTCTCTGGTGTATGTGCCAGTCCCTGTAAATACAGGGAAAACGGGTCACAGGAAGTCTCAGTATTTAAGCAGCTTCTATTCTAGTGCTGACTTCCAGATACTGCATCTTCACTCGGCCTCCTACAAGGCAGCACTGAAACGGAAGTGAGTTAGGTCTGTGTTGTAAATAGGGCTCACACAGACATGCATTTTATTCTTGTAAGAACAGATGAGCCTATTCTGGCCCAGGCAGGCACCAGAACAAGAGGCAATGGGTCTGAGGCATCTACTAGCAAGAAGAGACAGCAAACACCAGGAGGAGGACTGCGCAGGAGCTGCCAAAGAAATAGCTCTTCAAACTCAGACACAGCCACCACTGTGACGCAAAGCACACAGCACAGTCACTGATGTTCATGAGAGCTCTGAAGAATTTAGAAAGATTCAGTATGCATGCAATTTAATAAAGTATGTACATATAATGTTTTAGAAAAATGTTTTCAATGGTAACTAGTTATTTTAATCTTTTGGCAGTGAATTTTTTTTTTTAGAGACAGGTTCTTGCTATGTTGCCCAGGCTGGAGTGCAGTGGCTATTCACAGGCACGATCCCACTACTGATCAGCAAGGGAGTTCTGACCTGCTTCATTTCCGACCTGGGCTGGTTCACCCCTCCTTAGGCAACCTGGTGGTTCCCCCACTCCCAGGAGGTCACCATATTGACGCCGAACTTGGTGCAGACACCCAATCGGCATAGTGCATTACAGCCCAGAACTCTTGGGCTCAAGCGATCCCCCCACCTCAGCCTCCTGAGTAGCTGGGACTACAGGCATGCACCACCGTGCCCAGCAGTAAATTTTTTTATTGTACTTTAAGTTCTGGGGTACATGTGCAGATCATGCAGGATTGTTGCATAGGTACATACATGGCAAGGTGGTTTGCTGTTTTGGCAGTAAATTTTAAAGGTTATAATTATTTAAAACTTCACTTAAGTATAATATCTCCTCTTATCACATCAGATTTAAAAATAAGTATTACTGTACATTTGTATAAAGAAAAAACCTTTATCCTACATAAAATGCATTCAATAAGTTTAATCTCTGGAAAGTAATTAAGGCAAATATTATCAGTCACATTTAATGAATGAAAAACAAAGGAAGACACTCCCCACCCCCATAAGATGTTGAATGACTTGCTTCATATAAAGTTAGTGGCACTAATGGAACCATAGCCCAATACAGCTGATAAGAATTTGCTATTTCAGAAATTGATCAGAGGTCTTCAGCTTTTAAATATTCTTCGTTGTATTTGCCACACCTAATGTAAACAGATTTAATAGTTTATATTAGGGCTAAATATCATTAAAAACCTTCCCCATGGAACCTGAATTTTACTGATTTTGATTTTAGGTCAAAGACAATAATAATTGACAATTGGTAAAAGCTCTAAGGGGACTTACCAGTGGTCAGAAATGATCAAGCCTTCAATCCCATGAAAAACTCTCAAGATGAAAATGAGAATTTCTGGAACACATTAACTGTACATGACAATGTCTCAACCATTTACAATGAACAGTGATGTAAGGACTCAATAATACTAGCTATTTTCAATCTATCTCAACTAAAATTTATACCTAAAAATTTCCTTAAATTTTAGCAATTTCTGCATGTAAACAAACCTTCCTTGTGTATTTCTTGATTAATCAAAGAGATGAGAAAAGACCTATCTTTGACTGGAGAAACCTCTTTCTTTAACAGTTGGGTGGGAAATGCAACGCAAGACAGGGAATATGCGTCTACCAAGGGATGAGAGGAGGAACTGTCTTGTCATTTCCTAAAATGTACTTACTTCCGAAAGTTTGTCTTTGCACAATGGACACTGTGGGGAATGGTCAAGGCAGCGCTCAAGGCATTTTAGGCAAAATGTGTGTCCACAGGGCGTAGTGACAGGTTCAAAGAGCAACCTGGAAGAAAATATCTGTTTTCAGCAAGAAATGTCCAGGACAGATTTTCAAATCATGGATTTGTTTTAGAAGGATTCCTCATGCAATTCCATTACTGTTCTAGAAATCACTTGCATGTACTTCCATTTTTACATCTTCTTTATCAAATCTTTAGAAAATAAATCAATTATTACTGAGCTCTACATAGTTTCCCCAATAACAAAAAGCCCATTACACTTTGGTACACATTTCAGAAATGCTGAAGTTTGAACGAGTTGCATGGAATCTGTATCATCCTACCTCATGCAGAGGGCACACTCAAAGTCAGTCACATCAAGCGAGAGCCACTGACTTTCTTCCATATCAGAGTTCAGGCTTCTTTGAGGTGAGAAATCTGAACGTGAAAAAATTTAGAACGCTGTAATTAACACCTAAGCATCTGAACAACAGCAAGCAAGAAATGTATTTCCTCTGGACAAAATGGACTGTATCAATGTAACAAATCACGCTGGCCAGAAATAGTTCCTGTCCAGTTAACAGCATACAGCAATTATTTATCTAGATGATAAACGTGAATAGAATTTACAATTATAGCTAAATTTTCTCTGTTATTTTTGACTATGAAGTCTTTGCTGTGTAAAACATCTAAAATGCTCTATAATCTTAGAGCTGATATAATCATTTAATTACTAATATTAAATGGTACAGAATTTTTAAAAATATATTGAATACTAGCTAACATTCTATCACTTTGGAGTCACAGAACTGCCTGATGAAAATAATTCACTGACCTTTCTTGGGAATTTTTCCAGGGGCGTTCAGGTCAGGTGCAACCTCCATGTCATCTGGAAACTGTCCCTTTAAGCCAGCGTTGGGTGCTGTCGGAAGGATGCTTTCTAACACCTTTTTATCCTCTTCAAAGTGCAGACCCAGTATGAAATATAGAACTACGGAATTGGTATTTCCAAGCATATCAGATTTCTCAGATGAATTCTGGTTAAGTAGGAAAAAAAGAAATCCTGAATATTAAAGAAATCATAACATAAGAGAAAAAGAATTCAGTAGCCTGTACTAGAAATATTTGGGAAAAAAAAAGGGCTTACATTCTTCTTGCATAATTGGTTTCATCTATTAATTTCTAGGATGAGCTTTATTCTTTTCACAGTAAAATACAGGATAATTTCTTCCTGAGCCAAGGCAAGTGAAAAGTTATCTTCATATGCAATCTATTTATCTACACACACACACACACACACACACACACACACACACACACACACAAACACTCATATACAGTATCATATTCAAATCATCCCTTTTCTTTATTTTCTCCAAGCCAAGATAACTTCAAGTCTCCTGTCGTTGTGGGTGATTTGGTGGTGTTCTAAAGCTTCTTTGAATCTTTAATCACTTTCATTACTTCCATAGACTGTGTGTAAAAGCTCCAACTCCCAGGTTGAGGAGCTACAGCTGGTCTTGAGAAATATGTCTAACTAACACAACGCCATAATGTGTGAACAATCTGTAGACTGTTTAAAATGAAGCAATTACATAAACCTTAATCAAGAGAATCTTGACAAACACATGCACTTCATACCTCAGAGCTCCCTGCGTCACCGTCTTCCGGCTGAGACTGGGCATTCACCTGGCTGTGACCTTGGGCCTCTAATCTACTTTGGATGGAAGATGTTAAATTCTCATGCACACTTTCTGCAGCTGAAAACAGCACTTCACACATTACCTATAAAATTGCCAAGAAAAGAAAACATACCTTAAAATATTTTTGTAAAAAATAGTATGTCTTACAGATTCCAAGAAAACTATGAGGCTAAATAAGCCTAAAATGTTGAAAAGAATAATTTATCTGCCAACCTTTTAAAAAACAAACATTTTGAAACCAGAGTCAATGTTTTAAGTATTTTAGCTTCCAATCCCTTTCCATCTTACACTTCCCAATGACAAAATGATAGTATTACCACTTCCTTCTGGCTGGTCCTTACACATCTGCTATATAAAGTCTCCCCTAAAAGCCACACAGATAACAGAGAAAGAGGATGTAAAGATTGTTGGGGCCTTGAATTAAATCTAAGCTGTGATCACCCACAGGACTGAGGTCACTCTACATAACTGCTCTATTTATGAGAACCAAAAAAGCCACCTCATAAAGAACTTTGAAGGAAAAAGGGAGGGAAAGGCCATAATTCTGGTTCAAGAACCAGGGAGTGGCATTCGTTGGCGCAGGGCAAGGGTGGACAGTGATGGCCAGTTAGGCATTCTAGCTGACACCCAATTCTAGTGGACACTCACATGGTCGTGTCAAACCTCATGGCCTCAGCTGCATCCAAGGCTTGAGAAAAGCAGAAAGGAGTGACTGAAAGCTAAACAAAGACTCCTCCCACTCTCCACTGTTCCTCGTGGTTCAAGGTGGGTACACTAGAATCCATGGCTCTGTAGCAATGCGTACCAGCACTCTTAGCAGCGACATTAAGGTCCTCAGTGCCAGTTCTGAGAGCCTCAGCAAAGCTGCTGGTGATGGAGCACATTCCATGTGCTGCTGGTTGACATTCCATGTCAACAGGCTAACACTGTTTTTGGTACTGTCTGTGATACAATATATCTATCAGCCATAGAATGCCCAGGGGAAAACACCATGTCTGAAAAAGCTCCAGGCAGACAACACCCACAAGACCTAAACCCTCGACCAGGAACCTTGGTGAATATGCTTAATCTCTTTGAGCTTGGGCTGACTTTCTCAGAAAAAGGTCATGGAATTAGTTGAGGCATGTTTTAAGATTCTTAGGAAGTTTGCATACAGGACAAAGCAGGCAGAGATAGCCGAATAGCAGGCTGAAGATGCAGTATTATTTTGACAGGTTGAAATGATGTTCAAAAACCAATGAGTGACACTGGTCAACTGAACAACTGTCAGGACAACTGAACAGGACTAACACCAATTTGCCAATCAAGTGCAAAAGAGAAGATAAAAAACAACATTGCTAGAAAGTTCTTCTTTTAAAAAAAAAAGATGATCTAGGTATTTAGAAATAAACATGACCCCTAATTTGAACACAAGGGAAGGTAAAATTTCACCAAATGTGGCTGTCACGTGTAGATGCTAAAATATAGGGTACATCAGAATGCATCCAGAAGAGGAAATCTTAAAAACCCCATTCTGTGAGAAAAGAATGTTTGACCCACATGGTGATGTTAAGACAAAGACAATTGCTGTTCTCAAATATTTAATGTGGGTTGAATTGTACAAGGAAGAACTGATTCATTTTCTGTTGCTCCAGAGAAAAGAACTGGACAGGTAAGTAAAAATTACAGGGTAAGTATATGGTAGAAGTTGACAATATACAGCGTCAAAACAGGGAAGTACAAACATAAAAACAAAAACTCCTGGTCATTGGAAGTGCTAAGTAAATATCAGGTAACAATCGTATAGACTTTTTAACAGAATAGATTTTTATATTCAGTGTGACTGGATGATGGGTAAAAATTACAAGTCACCCTATAAAGCCAAGTTGATATATTTTACATATATCAACTCAGCTTTATAAGACATAATGTCTTTCATAAGGCTCTCACACAAACTACATAATACATGAAACTACAAACTCTAGGACAAAATACTTTGCCCCCTAGCCTCACACAGCAACCTTGCCTTGCCTAACATGTGTCATTACATCAACAGAATTAAGGTATGTTTATGCTGTCTCATGAAACACTCTAACCAGGGACAAAACATAATGTTTGCCTAGAAGTGATCCAATGCATGAACTTTATAATTACTACCATGTATTCTGTAACACATTGTCATGAGCATTCAGAAATATATTTCTTGTTTATTTCACATGCAAGGGTTACTCAGCATGAACATGAAGGCTATAAATAAGGCCTGAAGGAGAAAGTCCTTTAACAGAACTCATACCTTCTGTGCTTCTTTCTTCACAGCGTTACATTCAGGATTTAGAGCAAGGCAGTAGAGAAATTCCTTTAACACTTCCTTACTTCTTCCCAATCCAGAAAGAGCTTGAGCTTTTACATGATGTCCCTAGATTCAACCAAGACAAAGTATGCATTTTTAAAACCTAGCACGATTACATACTTGAATACAAACTTCCCTGAACAAATTTATTATAATAACTTGTTTTATTTTCACACTAAGTAGAATAAACAAAACCCACCAAGGATGACTCTATTGCTACTGTAACTCACTACCCTGGAAACTCAGCAAACTTCAGTAGCTCATAAATACAATCTACAGTCAGAACACAGGAGTTAACATACCTAAAATGTACTGCACAAAGGAGTTCTAAGGGACGTGCTAAGAGGAAACTGGCTATCAACTTTAAATTCATTCAGCAAGTACAGGTCACTATCATCTTCCTACCTTCCAGGAGTTTACAGTCTCATGAACCAAGACAGACATGACTAAAGACAATTACAATACAAAGCATAATATACTAAGTGCCACAATAAAAATAAACAAAATACAATATGGGTCAGTAATTTCCCATGGCATTTGCTTTTCAACTTATGAATGCAATATTTTCTCAAATCTGTAAAAATACTATTTTTTTGTTTTCTACTGGTTTACATATAGTTGAAAGACCTTCTCTTAGCACTTTGAATATGCTGTTTCAATGTCAACCAGCTTCCACAATTTCAGATGACATGGCAACCATCAATATTATTTCCTTGTATGTCATTTTGCTCATTCTCATTTCATGTCATTTTTCTTTACTGCTTTCAAGGCTTTCTTTTTATCTTTGGCTTACAGCATAGCCATTTGATTACGATTAGAATGTATCAATGCTTATAACTTGAGTTAACCTTCTTGGAGCTGAAATTAATGTTTCCCACTAAGTCTGGAAACTTTTCACCCATTATTTCTTCATTTTTTTTCTTGCCAAACATTTTCTGTCTTCTTATGGGATTCCAATGGCACATATATTGTGCCACTTCATATTATTCCACAAGTTCCCAAGATTCTTTTCATTTTTCTTTAATCTTTTTTCTTTCTGTTCTTTGCATCAAATAATTTCTGTTTCTACAGATCTATCTTTAATTTCACTGATCATTTTGCCATGTATAATGTGCTATTGGGCCTACCTAGAAATTTTAAATTTCAGCATGGATAATTTTTATGATTTCAGTATTGATAATTTTTATCTCTAGAATTTCCTTTTTGTTAAAAGACGGGGTCTCACTGTGTTGCCCAGGCTGGAATGCAGTAGCATGATCAGATCTCCTTGTGACCTTTAACTCCTGGGTTCAAACAATCCGCCTCAGCCTCCTGAGTAGCTCAGACTACAGGCACATGCAACCCTAACTGGCTAATTTTTAAATTTTTGTAGAGATGTAATCTTATGATGTTTCCCAGGCTGGTCTTGAACTCCTAACCTCAAGTGATCCTCCTGCCTCAGCCTCCCAAAGCATTGGGCATACATGCATGAGCCATGACACCCAGTCAGAATTTCCATTTTTTATAGTTTCAATTTCCCTGTTGAGATTGCTCTTAATCTCAATCAAAGATAATATATTCTCCTTCAGTTCTTTGTATGCAATTTAATACTTTGAACTTATTCATAATAGCTACTTCAAAGTCTCTTTGTGGAAAATATAATATCTGTGCCCACTCAGAGACAATTTTAATTGGCCGTTCTTTATCCCAAGTACAGGTCAACATTTTCTGTTTCTTTACATGGCAAGCATTTCTGGCTGAAACTAGACTCTGCACAAAACATGTTGCATCAACCTCTGCATTTTGTGGTACTCTTTTGAGAATTCTGGGTTTTTGTTTTAATAGGTAGTTAACCTTGCTGGATTCCACTGTGACCTGTTATCTCCTTCACTGTACAGAGCTGGGAAATCTCTGCTCTGTTAATATGCTATTCCACAGCTCCTTTATTTTTATTTTTTATTTCGGACTGAGCCTTGCTCTGTTGCTCAGGCTGGAGTGCAGTGGCACGATCTTAACTCATGCCAACCTCTGCCACCCAGGCTCAAGTGATTCTCCTGCCCCAGTCTCCCGAGTAGCTGGGACTACAGGTGCCTGCCACCACGCCCGGCTAATTT